GTGGATTAGGTGGCTGTGACTCAGGAGGTGAAGGAGTTCATCATCTTTTTTGTAGGTCAGTGGTTTGATCCCTGACCCTTCTAGTATGCGTGTCAAAAAATCCTTTTCAATTTTCAATTTAATTCCATTTTATTTATATAGCGCCAAAGCACAACAAGAGTCACCTCAAGGTGCTTTATATTGTAAGGCAGACCCTACAAAAACCCAACAACCAAATGAGCCCCTATGACCAAGCACTTTGGCAACAGTGGGGAGGAAAAGCCAGGCTCAGGGAAGGGCGGCCATCTGCCATGACCAGTTGTGGTGGGAGAAGGAAGGCAGGACAAAAGACATGCCTTGACAAGACACTGAACCCCGAGTTGCCCCCAGTGCATTCACCAGACTGTGAATTTTACATTAAAAACTCTCAAGCATTAAACAGGGTGCTTGTAGGAATTTGTGTGAATAAGTCTTGTACTAAGAAACACTTAGAGTGTTCATATAAAATAGAAAAGTGCTATATATGTACTGGTCCATTTATAATTTGTTCCCCCTTTGCATCATGGAAAAATAGAAATATTGTCTGAACTGTTATAATGTGATTGTGATCTTCGTGACACCATAGTGAGCCACAGCACAAAGCTGATGTGAAACTGAAGATAACTGACACTGACTGTAAATGTCATTGTGTTTTGGCCTGTATCATCCACAAGCTACACCGAGGACTGATGTTCATTAAATATATCTGTGCATTCCTGCCTTATACGTAAAGGTTTGGTTTGGTTAGTCAAGTTAGTAATTTACTTTTTAAAAGTTTAACATTTTTTAGAAGAATTTAGCCTCAATGATCATTTCTAGTAACGTGCTTGCTTAACATCAGTAATATGACACTGTTGGGCAGTGATCCACCTGAATAAATGTTGGGAATTTCTATCTATGTTGATATGAAGCGCTAAAAGCATGTAACGTCTCATTGTCATGCATTTGGTTTCAATCAAATCTTATCTCGTATCTAGACCTCACACCTCTGCAGGAAGTTGGTTGTATTGAGTTTGCTTTCACTGTATTCAGTAACTTCCACTGTTCTCTCAGAATAGTTTTTGTATAATAAAGATGTAATCAATAAAAATGACCAAACATGTTTTATTATTAACCTAAGAAAAAAGCTTGGTAGGACCATGTCATGATCGGCTCACAGAAATTGAACATACCTCAAAAATATAATCTCAGGCAAAGGAACATGCTGGTTATCAGTGTAAGTCTACTATAGTTCTTTTTTTTTTTCAGGAAAAATCTTGAAAGAAAGTCAGATTTGGTCATATCAATGTTTTGATCAGGTAAACTAAGAAGGCGTCATTACCATGTTCCAACAGCAGTTACACCCTTGAGCTTCCAATCAGCCAGCCCACACTTAAGGGTAAAGGGAAAGTTTAGAGTTTAATGCAGAGGGGGTGAGTACTAAGAAGCTGTTGCTGAATCTCTGAAGAATATTCCTCAGTGTAATATTACTTTTAGTTTATTCTCACTGGAGGCATTTAAGAGAATACTATGAAACAACAACAACTTGAGATCATCTAAAATACAGGTGCCAAACATAAGGCTGGGACTGGCCTGGAAATGTGAAGGAGGAGATTTGTGGATGTTTAAATGGGTTTTAATGAGTTTCACAGATTTTTCTGCTGATGAAGGCCTCCCCCATGACAATTCATATTACATTACAAATACCAGCTCCTCGATGTATTTTGTCAGGTAACCATGAAACCAAGCATCAGAATTGGGAACAAATGATTTAAGTGGCTTGCAATGTCACATGTAGTCAATGCCTTGTTGGTGCTAGAGATCAGAGAAGAATGGCCAGACTGCTTTGGGTTGATAGGAAGGAAATAGTAACTCAGATAACCAGCTCTTACATGACAAGGTATGCAGAAGAGCATCTCTGAACCTGTCAAACAGGAAACTGAGGCTACAGTTTGCACAGACTTGCCAAAATTGGAGAATAGAAGATAGAAGAAAGAAAACATTGCCTGGTCTGATAAGTCTAGATTTCTAATGCAGAATAATCAGAATTTTAGGGCAAACAAAATGGAAGTGTGGCTCCTTCCTGCTTTTT